CCATGACTCTGTGTATCCCTTCCCTCTTCTTTTGACACTTTCTGCATCACTGACTATTTTGCCTATGCTATTGTGTGCCACTGAGTCATTTCCAAGGGTTTTCCAAGGAGAGGTTGGTGGCTTTGAACCATAGACCCTGCAGTTAGCAGTCCAATGCTTATCCTGCAGTACCATAGCAGAACTCTGTTTTGCCTATTGGGGTGGTTGTTAAGTGCCGTCAAGTCAGTTCTGACTCATAGCAACCCAGTATAGGGTTTCCAAGGAGTGGCTGGTGAGTTTGAACCATTGACCTTGAGGTTCAAACCAAGCTTGCAGTACAGCACATTAGCCCACAGCACCACACCAGGACTCCTATGTTTTGCCTATAAAATCCTCTAATATTGCAAATCGAGGCTTGAATGATTTCTTCAGTTCCTTCAGTTTGAGCAATGTCGTGTTCGTGCCCCTTTTGGTTTTCTAACTCCAGGTCTTTGTACATTTCATTATGATACTTTCTTTGTCTCTCAAGCTGCCCTTGAAAATTGTCTCTTTATCTCTCTTCATCATTTCTTCTAGTTGCTTTAGCTTCTCTATGGTCATGTTTCACATACTCTCCTGAGAGCCATTTTGGTCTTTTCTTTTCTTTCTTCCCTGTCTTTTCAGTAATTTAGGTTTTGCATGCCGGAGAGTCATTTTTGTAAGTATTAAACACTGCTGATGTAGGGAGGAAAAAAAGCAGCCTTAGACAAAATCAACAAATGGGTGTGGCTATGCTCCAATCACAGAAATAGAAGGCCGGATAGATTTGGCTCACAGACACTAGTTAGCCAAACTCTGATTTAAAATGTAGCTATCAATCAACCATGAGAAAATGTGTCACAACACTTAGAAGGCAGAATCTCCATCTAAAGTTATGCAAAAGAATACAGCTGCTTAGGAACTATGAGGATACCGTGTGCTTGTAGAAGTGGCTCTCAAAGGGAAAGAGGAAAAACATGTTTCAAACAAAAGCTCAGTAATCTGGAACCATTGAATAGGAGAATTCTAGGCTCTATAAACACCAACAAACCCTGGGATATCTGTATGGTGTTGTTAGGTGCTACTGAGTGGATTTGGACTCATAATGACTATGGTCAGTATGTTAAAGCACAGTATATAACTAATGTTCATAATGAGGATTCAATGCCCTTTTATGTACTTCAGTGAAAAAAGGCAAGGAAATACATAGCTTTTTAAGAGACTGTTTCTGTCAACAACATGGCATTGTTTACCTTTCAAAGCCTAGGTCTGACTAACCTTCTATTGCATTCATTCCCTTCCCAATAAGTCACACATGTGAGTTTTCCTCAGTCAAATCTGTTCTATATCTTCACAACCAAGTTGAAAAACTGTTTTGGCATATCTACTAGAGCCTGAATATATGTATATCTAGTGTCCCAGAATTTCATTCCAAGTATATACCCAAAAGAAACACACACGTCTGCTCACCAACAGTTACTAGGATGCTCATCACAGCACAGTGTGTCATAGCCCAAACTATGGAAACCATCAACTGCCCACCAACAACTGAATATAGATAAATGGACTGTGAACTGTTTACACTATAGCTCCACAAGATCGAACAGTATGGAAGTACACAATACAATACAGATAAATCTGACTAATGTACTGTTCAGCAATTGTTTTTAAAATAATTAGAGCAGCAGGTACTTCTTCCTGTCTTAATCTGAAAGTTCCACTGAAACCTGTCTACCCTGGGTAACCCTAGTGATACTTAAAAGACTGGTGACATATCTTCCAGTAACCACAAAATGACAAACTGACAAATGAGTGGTACAGGAATCAAACTGACTACATCTGTGAAAAGAGACGGTGGAGGGACTTAAGACTTCTCAGCCAAGACAAGGCCAGGGGCTGACTGTGGAACAGGCCATCAACTGCTCATATCCAAGTTCATGTGTCAACTGACAAAAATTAATACAAGTTCATGAGAATGAAAATAAAACCTTGAGTACATCCCACCTAAATTTAGAGACCATTTCAAGAACAGACTTGATGCAATGAACACTAATGACTGAGACCAGATGAGTTGTGGGATGACATCAAGGCCCTTGTACAGGAAGAAAGAAAAAGGTCATTAAAGAGAAATAAAGAAAAAACCAAAATGGATGTCAGAGGAAACTCTGACATTTGCTCTTAAATGCAGAGTAGCTAAAGTGAATGGAAGAAAGGATGACATAAAGGAGCTGAAGAAAAGATTTCAAAAAGTGACTTGACTAGACAAAGTATTATAATGCAATGTACAAAGACTTGGAGTAAGAAAACCAAAAAGAAGAACATGCTCAGCATTTCTCAAGTTGAAATAAGTGAAGGAAAAAAATTCAAGCCTTGAGTTGCAATACAATACTGAAGGACAGATACTAAGGGCAAAATATTGACTGAGGCAAGAACCATCAAAGCATCAAAAGTAGATGGAAGGAATAGAGCCCACGGGATCAAAAAGAAGTGGCCAAAGTTCAACCATTTTATGATACAGCATATGATCAATAACTGACGGTACTGGATGAAAATGTACAAGTTGCACTGGACGCACTGGCAAAAAACAGGACTCCAGGAATTGATGACGAAATACCAGTTGTTTCAACAGATGAATGCAATACTACTGGAGGTGCTTACTCATGTAAGCCAAGAAATTTGGAAGACAATCTGGCAAATCAATTGGAAGAGGCACACATTTGTGCCCATCCCAATGAAAGGGGATCCAACAGAATGTAGAAAGTAACAAACAATATCAATATCATACAGCAATTAAATTTTGCTAAATATAATCAAAAAACGATTACAGGAGTTCTTCTTGACAGGGAATTTCCAGAAATTTAAGCTAGATTCAGAAGAGGATGTGTAATAAGGGATATCACTGCTGATGTCAGATGGATCTTGCAAAAAGCAGAGAATACCAGAAAAATGTTTTCCTGTATTTCACTGAGTATGCAAAAGCATTTAACTGCAATCATAACATTTAATTTTGCTCAAGTGGAACCTGCACACAGAAGAAGAAGCATTTCAGAACAAGGGGAATACCAAATGCTTTACAAAGGAAAGCTGTGTGTCAGGAGCAACTTACCACCATACTTATTCGATATGTATGCTTAACAATCTGTATGCTAGACTATCTGAAGAAGAATACGGCATCAAGATTGGAAGAGGATCATTAACAACCTGCAATACACAGATGACACAATCTTCCTTACTGAAAGGGAAGAGGACTTGATGCACTTACTAATGAAGATCAAAGACAACAGCCTTCAGTATGAATTATACCTCAATGTGAAGAAAACGAAAATTCTCACAACTGAACTAATAAACAAAATCGTGATAAACAGAAAAGGCTGCGGTTGTCAAGGATTTCATTTTACTTAAATCAATTCTCATAGAAGCAGCAGTCAAGAAGCCAAATCATTGTGAACTCTGTTGTAAAATATTGCTTTCAAGTGTTGACGAGTAAAGACTGACACTTTGAAGACTATGCTGTGCCTGACAAAAGCCAAAGTATTTTTAATCGCCTCATTGCATACAAAACTGGACACTGAATACACAAGACTGGAAAAGAATCGGTGCATTTGAATTTTGGTGTTGGCAAAGAGTACTGAATATGCACCATGGTCTGTCAGAAGAATAAACAAATCTGTCTTGGAAGAAGTACAACTGGATGAGGATGGCAAGACTCCATCTCACATATTTTGGACATGTTAACAGGAGGGGTTAGTCTTGGAGGATACGATGTAGGATGCGACGAAAAAGAAGAAGACCCCAATGAGCTGGATTAACACAGTGGTTTTAAACAGTGGAGTCTACCATAGGGAACAAATGTGAGACGGACACAAGACTGGGCAGCTTCCTTCTGGTGAACATAGAATCGCGTTAAATCCCAACTGACTGAAAGGCATCTAACAACACGACTGCTGAACAAAAGAAGCCAGAAATGTATGATTTCATTTATACAGCATCCAAAAACAGACTAGAGGAAATGATGTTTTTGAAGAGGGAGAAGAGATGTTACTTTTAGTAGGAATTATGACTAAATATGACATAACAGCTCACATACCTGGGTGCAGGATATCATATTTTTACCTAAATCACATGCACATTATTATATATATATTTTCTTTTTGGCAAACTGCACAATCCCTTCATGCGTTAACTTATGTGTGCTACTTATGTGGGCACATTAAATGAGAAAGCTACAGTGTGTTCAGTTTGTGAAACTTCACTGAGCTGTATGCCTCTAAGGGCACATTTCTGCATGTATATGATCACTGAAAACAATCTAGCCTACCTTTCAATTATTACTATGCTGTTCCTAACCTGTCAGCATCCCACAGCGTTTACTAGTTTTTTGTTGTTTTTTTTTTTACTAGTTTTGACCTCTCGTTTACACCCTCAATTTGGCCCACAGTTGTGAAGCTAAATCTTCCAAAAAATATTCTCATCTTAACCCTTGTATGTGTGCCATACACAGGAAGACCATCAATGGTTCCCAGTTACTTACAGAATGAAGCCACAATATTCAAGTTAGCAAGCTATCCAACAGATACTCTGTATTTAATGCATTCTATGTCCCGCTCTAACTCCCACACTTCCCCTCCTTCATTATTCCCCATAACCTACCACTCCTGTGTGCATTCCTGATTCTATGTTTTTATTTTCGCTTTCCCACTTGGAACTCAAACTTTGTCAAACATTGCCTTGTCACTAAATGTCTTGCTGTGGAAGACTTCCTCCTTAAGTAAGGTATAATTTACTTACAGTAAAGTGCATGGATCCTAAGTGTTCATTTCACTGAATTGTGATAACTGCACATGCCTCTGTAACCAACACCACACCAAGATCTACAACATTTTCACTATTCTAGAAATTCCTCTGAATACCTTCTCAGCCAGTGTCCCGTTCCTCCCCAAAGTTTATTCCCGCACATTAGTACTGACATTCCTTGGTACTGCACACACATACCTTTCTGATATCTATAAATCGGTGAGTTCAGGAGAATTTGAAGGAGACTTCAGAGTAGAACTAAGGGGTGGTGCAGGAAGACCATGTCGACGCATCTCTTGGATTGCTCGTTCTCTAGTGGTAAAGGTCAAACAAGACAAATGAAGCACCATGAGGAACCATCAAGTGCTTTATAAATATGTTGATATGTTGTTAGGCTCCAACTCCTAGTGACACTGTACAGTATTTCCAAAGGGTAACTGATGGGTTTGAATGACAACAAACCTTATAGTTAACAGTCCTGTGCTTATCCTACAGCACCACATAGGACAGGACTTCCTACACAAATACAGATTGTTATATTGCTATTACTTAACTGCTTTCTACTAAATAAATATTTTTATTAAATTCAAGTTCTAGACCCTTGTATGATTTTTGAGTAATTGATAAAATTAAAACAGCATTTAAGACATTTTTAAAAACAATTATGGTAAACCTAAACTACAAGCATTAAAGTTCCAGTTTGCTGTTGAGACAATTCTGACCCATGCTAGTCCCATGTCAGAATAGAACTGTGTTCCACAAGGTTTCCAATGACTGATTTTTCAAAAATAGATCACCAGTCAGTCCATTTTTCCAAGTTTGGGTGGGCTCAAACAGCTAACCTTTCAGTTAGCAGCTGAGCATAAAAACAATTTGCACACTCAAGGACGCAATAGTAGGTTGTCATTAAAATATTTTAGAAACAAAATGCTCATAATATATTTAGTATAAAGGTATATAGCGATAAAACAGGATTCTAAATGAACACACACATACACACACACAAACATATGACTAGAAAGATATTAAACTCCAAGATGTTTAATAGTGGTTCCAGAAGACAGAATTTACAGATAGCTTTGGTTTTCTTCGTTGTACTTGAAAGAATTTAATTATTTATATGATGAACCTATTTTATTTGTTCTTAAAAATTGTTTTTGTTGTTGTTGTCAGTTGCCATCGAATCGGAATCAACTCATAGCGACCCCATGCACAGCAGAACAAAACAATGTCCGATCCTGGGCCAACCTCACTACCGCTGCCACACTTGACGCCATCAGTGATGCCACCTGGCCAATCCATCTCGTTAGAGGTCTTCCTCTTTTTCTATGACCATCCACCTTACCCAGCATGACATCCTTCTCCAACAATTGTTTCCTCCGGACAATATGTCCAAAGTATGAGAGATGAAGCTTAGCCATCCTGGCCTCCAAGGAGCACTCTGGCTCTTAAAAATTAAATGCTAGTATATTTGAAGATGGAGTCCTGGTATGTCACTGTAGGATAAGCACTGGACTGCTAACTGTTAAGGTGGGTGATTCATACTCACCAACTGTTCTCTGATTACCCTATACAGGGTCTGTATGAGTCGGAACTGACTTGATGGCACTTAACAACATTTGCAAAGATATTCCTTAACTTACTTTCTAAAATGTTTGATACTGTTAATCACTCCTGGCTTCTGTGGCATACTACTCTATCCTGACTCTTTCTACCTAGATGACCAATGTTACTGTTGCTGTGTGCCATCAAGTCAATTTCAAGCCATAGCAACCTTGTATAGGGTTTCTTTTACTGGATACTTTTCCTCTGCCTACACTTTACATGCTGGTGTTCTTAAAGTATAAAGGCAACAAAGTCAAACACGCTGTCAAGTCAATTCTGACTCACAGCAACCCCATACAGAGTTCCCAAGACTGCAAATCTTTATGGGAGACACAGCCCCTCATCTTTCTTCTTCTCTAAATTATAAAATGTTTAAAATTTCATTTCACTGTTGCAACTTCAGGCTTCATTTCTCTCTGGAAGCATAATGTCTGACTTTTCTAATAAATTTGGTCTATACTCCAAATAGCTCATCACATAAACGTTTGTGAGGTCAGACGGATAAAAATAAAAGGTAAACATTAACCTAATAAGCAACTTGAACATTATTTGATAATGAGATCTCAGGAATGTTGGTGTTTTTGGTATTTACACCATAGGACAAAGTAATAAAAAAAACTTGACAATTAATTTGCAAATTAGACTTCAATTGTAACTCTTAAAGTAGGTGTCAGTCCTGTTTATCAGTGGGAAATTAAAAATTTTAATAAAATAAAGCAAATTAAGTGAAAAATATGTAAGCATGAAAATGACAAAGCTGTAGAGGATTTAAAACTAGACTCACACATGCCTGGATTTTACTGTTGGCTCTGCCATTTACTATTTGTGTGACCCTGGGCAAATCACTTCATAATCCTGACTCTGTCTGTAACACAAGCATACAGATTGTTGGGAGAATTAATCACATACACATACAAGGGGGCTTCAAAAACTTCACAGAAAAATTTACATTATCTTTTCATTCCATTTTTCCATGAACTTTTGGAAGCCCCCTCATACATATCTGGCACGTATCTGTCCACTGCAATTGTCACCTGCATCATCATCGTCACCTTTGTGATGATTTGTATTTGTAGTCCGGCTGTGGTGCTGTGGGTTAGTGTGCTGGACTGCAAGGTTCACGCTCACCAGCCGCTCCTTAGAAACCCTAGACAGGGTCGCTGTGGGTCAGAACCGACTTGATGGCACTGAACAACAACAACAACTTAGATCATATTGTTTTGGATCCCTGCAGAATCCCTACTGGAGAGTCTGTGCAGTACAAATGGTTAACATGCTCATCTGCTAACTGAAAGGTGAGAGATTTGAGTGCACCCAGAGGCGTCCTGAACGAAAGGTAATTCTACCCATGAGTTAGAACTGACTTGATGGGAACTGGGGTAGTAGCAGACTTGCTCTTAGCTTAGGCTCCCTACCTGTACTCTTCCTGATAATGTCTTTATTTCCCCCTGAGAAATCCTTGCTACTTTGTTTACTGCATCAATGCTGTCTTCCATAATACCTGTTACCTTTTTAAGAAGAATTACAAAACGATTTTCTCTTAGGTACTACTAAAACAAAAATAAAATCGCCTATTTCTAAGCCACATTAAATCCTTTTTAGAATAAGACAAGGAATAAAAAAAAAAAAACACTGTTCAATGCTAAATGCTTGTTCTTACCGTTCATATCTTTCAGCTGAAATTTGTCTTTTAATAGCATCAAAATCTATGTGCAATTGTGCCACTTTATTTCGAAGCATGGTGTTTTCCCGGCCTTGGCAAGTTCTCAAAAACAAATTAGAAAATCAAATGAATAAATAAACAAGCACAGTGCTTTGAAGTCACAGGCAATAGTATTTGTTTTTGTTACTAATAAATCAAGTGGAGGTGATACCAAAGGACAGATAGCATTTGGAACTCCTATTTCAGAATCTTCCTTTTCATTCATCTGGTTTATTTAACAAACATTAACAAAGCTCCTACCATGTGATAGGAGTCCTGGGGTGGCGCTGCAGGATAATGCACTGGACTGATAGGTCAGTCTGAACTGCAAGGTCGGCAGTTCAAAATTCACCAGTCACTCCTTGGAAACCCTATACGAGGTCGCTATGAATCGGAACCAACTTGACGGCACTGAACAACAACAACCATGTGACAGGCACTGTAGTTGCTCTGGAGACACTAATTTGAACACGGCACAAACTATAACACTAAGATGTACAATGTCTTCATCTTTTTTGACTTTCGCCTGAAAATGACTATGCAATATTGATGTTGTTGCTAGGTGTCATCGAGTTGGTTCTGACTCATAGAGACCCTATCTATGCACAATAGAATGAACCACGGCCCCATCCTGTGCCATTCTCACAATTGTTGTTATGTCTGGGCCTACTGCTAAGCAATACAGGGAGTACAGTGCAGGGGCTTGAAAATCAGACATGCCTGGAAAGAGACACATTTCTCCTTTTAAGAGCTAATCTTGTGCTACTGATTCTGGGTTTCTTCTCTTCCAACAATTAGGAAACTTCTCCATCCTGAAGACACTACCATCAGTATCCAAAAAGGTAAGCAATTCACTCAGAGGATCAAGTCTGTAAGTCTTTCATCTGTACATCAGCTGAAACACAGCTGATTTGTTGAAACACCCTCTTCTCCCCTGCGCCGTCTTACAGGGTCACTCCTTCAATCTAGGCAGTTTTCTAAACTTCACTCTTTTCATTCACTCCCACTGGGCCACCACTGTGGTGAAGGTACCTCCATTCATGCTCCACCCTCTCCTCACCCCCACACCCATCCCCAGGCAAAAAGGAAATGATTTCTGACAAGGTACTTTCCTCACACAGGTTGATTTATGACACTTACAATTTGCTTTCTGAAAGGGTCAACTTCTCTTTAAGTAACTGAATTTCTGTGTCCTTCTCATGGGAGCATAAATGAGAATGAAACTCTTTATCTCTATTTGTAGCCAACAACGATTCAAGGTTTTTAACTGTATGTCTCTCACTTGTTAATTGTTTTTTAAACAGGTCTGCTTCTGATTTTACATTTTCTAATTCCACCACAACCTAAGGGGAAAAAAGTACGATTACTTTGGCACAATTTTAGACTTAATCTGAAAAATTCTTTATCTTACAATAGAATTCTACAGAACTATGCATCAATGAGTTGTTTTAACTTGGGTACTGGTTATAGATTTTGAACCACTTCCTTAACAAGATGAAATACTGCATTTTCGAGTTAGCCTTTAATATTTTTACTAAGGATTTATTTGACTGACTCCAGGCCTCAAATACTTATCACTTAGGCTACTTATCAAGAGAGGATTCTTAATAACAACATCTGGCTAAATGAGGTCCAGTGAATTAGTCATTATAGCCCTAACAATAAGTATTGACTCTTACACCATTGGGTGGGATTATGTGAACTACCATAGGGATGAGACAGCCTGCAGGATCATGCAAATAAGGTAGGTGTACGAAACCCAAACAAGGGTACTGGTCAGTTTGTCATCTTGTATGTTTAGAGGGAGCCAATCACAGAAGTGGAAGAGGGAGTACCTCACTACTACCAAAAACATCCAGTAGCAGAGTAAGTCTTTTGGAACTGGGGTTCCAGTGTTGGGAATTCACTACACTCAGAGAGCTATATCATCACAAAAGGTATGAGATAGCGAGCAGCAGGAGCAAGGGCAGCATAGAACAGAACTAGGTAACAACAGAACTAGGAGGCCAGCAGGAGTACTGTAGTGGACTTTAGTCCATGGAGCAGTCAGCTAACTGGGCATGTCAACTCATGAAGCGAAAGAGCCAAGTGCCTATGGGCTGAGGCGTACTGTCATTATGTGGTGCCTGTGGGCAAAGACTAGCAGAGCTAAAGAGATTTGTAACACTTGCCAAGAAAAGCCGAGGCCAGGCTCAGGACCCAGGGGTCAAATGAAAGGCATGCCTACGGGCATAGGTAAGCGGTTGCCCAGACCACAGAACTCTATCTGAGTCACTGCTGATCATTGTAACCTATAGCTGTTAGGTGCTGTTGAATCGGTCCCAACCCATAGCGACCCTATGTGCAACAGAACTAAACACTGCCTGGTCCTGAACTAGCCTCACAATTGCTGCTATACTTGAGCCCATTGGTGCTACCTACCACTGTGCCAATCCTTCTTGTTGGAGGCCTCACTCTCCCCTTTACCAAGCATGATGTTCTTCTACAGGTTCTAGTATCTCCTGATACTATGTCCCAAGTATGAGAGACAAAGTCAAGTCATCTTGGCTTCTAAGAACATTCAGGCTGTACTTCTTCCAACATAGACTTATTTGTTCTTCAAGCAGTCCATGGTACAATATTCTTCTCCAACACCATAACTCAAATATATCAATTCTTTTATGGTTTTTCTTACTTATTCGCTGTCCAACTTCATATGCATATGTGGCTATTGAAAATTCCATGGTTTGGGTCAGGTGTACCTTAATCCTCATACTGATTTCTTTGTTCTTAAACACCATAAAGAGGTCTTGTGCAGCAGATTTGCCTAATGTAATACGTTGTTTGCTTCTTGACTGCTGTTTCTATGAGTGTTGATGGTGGATCCAAGCAAAATGAAGTCTTAACAACTTCAATCTTTTATCCATTTATATGGATATTGTTTATTGTTCCAGTGGTGAGGATTTTTGTTTTCTTTACATTGAGGTGTAATCATACCCAAGGTTGTGGTCTTTGATCTTGATCAGTAAGATCAAGTATTTTAACTCCGTTTTCAACAAGCAAGGATGTATCATCTGCGTATCGCAAGTTGTTACTGAGTCTTCTCCAATCCTGATGCTGTGTTCTTCATATAATTCAGCTTTGTGGATTATTTGCTCAGCATACAGATTGAGTAAGTATGGTGAAAGAATGCAACCCTGGCACACAGCTTTCCTGATTTTAAACCAGTGCCCCCTTGTTCTGTTCTAACAGCTGTCTCTTGGTCTATGTACAGGTTCCTCAAGAGCACAATTAAGGGTTCCGGAATACTCATTTTCCTCAGTGTTGTCTATCGCTTGTCATGATCCACACAAATGAAAGCCTTTGCATAATGAATAAAGCAGAGGTAAACATCTTTCTGGTATTTGCTGCTTTCAGTCAAGCTCCATCTAACATCAGTAATATCCCTGGTTCCATGTCCTCATCTGAATCTGACTTGAACTTCTGGCAGTTCCCAGTTAATGTACTGTTGGCAGCTGTTTCTGTATTATCTTTAACAAAATTTTACTTGTGTGTGATATTTATGTACTGTCTTATCATTTCTGCATCCCACTGGGTCACCTCTCTTTGAAATGGGCACAAACATGGATCTCCTCCAGTCAGCTGGCCAGGTAGTTTTTTTTTTTTAAATTTTTTAGTAGAGATGACTGCGTGCCTTCAGTGCTTCGTCAGTTTGTTGAAAGATTTCAATTTGTATTCCATCAATTCCCAGAGCCTTGGTCTTACTCTGTAAACCTTTCATATTCTCTTTCTTTAAAAAACGTTCTTTCACCTTCTTTTGATGCTTTCTGCATCATTCAATATTTTGCCCCAAAGAATCCTTCAGTGTTTCCAGTTGAGGCTTGAACTTTTTCCTTAGCTCAGTTTGATAAATGTAACCTGTTACTTCCCTACTAAACCCTGTAACTATGAGTATGATCTGTGAGTTGTGTGTGGCTATTGCAATAAACTATCAAACCTAGCAGAAAAGTACAAAGTGACGAGGGCAGGATGGTTGGTGCTAGAATTGGTAAACACTGTGGAGGGTAGAGGTCTGACTGACTTCCAACTCATAGGAATCAGCCTAGGGTTGATGCTGATTCTGCTGTTCTTCACCTTTTGTGAGGCTAGAGTAGGTCAGACCATATCACTGTAGGGTAAGCAATAGACTGCTAACCACAAGGTTGGTGTGGTTCAAACCTACCAGTTGATCCTCAGAAACCCTACACAGGGTCGTTATGAGTTGGAACCAAATCCAAGGCACGCAAGAACCAACAAGTCCATTTTGATCTATTAAAAATGTGCCTTCTGACTACTACTTCATCAAGTGAGCCTTTTAGCTCCTCACAGTGAACATATTTTACTAGATGAATGACCATTGAAACAGCCATGTTAGAAAGCACTGGGTTATTTAAAGCAGGGCTGAGAACTGGTTCTGCCTGGGTCAGTCATAGCTGAGCAGAGTGAAACTTTAAAAATGTGGGTATACCAGAACAATAACCAGATGGGAAAAATTACATGTCAATGCCCTGCTTGAAATGTAATCTCATTCTTAGAAAATAAGGATAGTTTGTTCACTGCACTACAAACAAATCTCTTGATCAGTGGAGGCAGAAACAGCAATGGCCAGCTCAAAGATGGCAGCCAATAGCACTGTTTTGAAGGTGCGTTGTTCTCCACAGTCCGGTTGTAATCCAGTCTGCTGCACTGGGTGCTTCTGAAGGTTCTCACTACACCTCTTTTGAGTCTCCCATCCCTAGACTATGAGCCGTAATTTTTCCTGTTCCAATTATTGTCCCGGTACACAAACCTTTTACAAATTTGGGTCTGTTTTGATTTTGCTGTATTAGCCATGAATGAACCAGTTAGAAATCCTGGTTTAAAGTAATACCTCACAGTTTGGAAATGGGAAGTCCTAGCTAACTAGACTTTTACATTTATGAAAGATTTAAACACACAGAGATTTGAGCAGAAAAAATATTCTACATGGAAACATTGAACTTATCAAGTGCTCACTCAAGTCTAACTTTTGGTCTTTTTTTTTCTCTTGTTGACTATTCAGATACGGATTTTACCCATGGCCTCTTCATCATTAGCATACCAAATAGATAAATACAATAATAATAATTAAATAAACACACAGTAAATTTAAAGTTAGCAAAATATATTCCTTTTTAATACTTGCATTTAGAAAGCATTCTTCTGAAATATCAGAAACTGATGATAAGCAAAAAAAAAAAAGTAAACTGAGATTCAGGATTTTTTCAATATGAATGAACAATTCTATGTCTCATCCCTAAGTCTAAGTGGCACACGTGATGGCTTCCTGAGCCAGAGGAACATCAAATACAGGATAAAAGTTACAATCTCTTAAAATTGGCCAAAGCGATAATCACAGACAATATAGTATATGACTTTCTAGTCTATTTTCTCTGCATGTATATATATTTTTTAAAAGAATGACATGATGCTGTAAAGAATGTTTTGCAATCTGTCCTTTCAACATCTAATGATCATTAAGTACAGATCTTCAGAAGCACTTAAAATTGCTGCTGATTGAGTATTCTGCCATCTCAATGGGCAATTATAAATTCCAAATTAAGAATATTAAGCTGTTTTGAGTTCTTAGCTATAATAAATATAACTTAGATGAATGTCTGTGTATATGTCTGAGATTCTGTTTAGTCCCAGCTATGTGGTTGTTGGCTTAGAAAGTCTACAAAGCATATGGTTGTTGCTATGCTTATCCAAGAGTGTAAGAGTCCGGGTGAATACATGTCCTTCTTCCAGTGTCCTTCCTCTACTAGTCAGCAGGAAGACTTGGCGCTTGGAAAAGTACAGGGAATTCTTCTCCCTTTCAAAGTCTTCCTAACCGTAGACTGACTTGAGAGCATCACTAATGACATGCCTTGCTACAGAAATGATTCTCCCACTAAGGTTTACAGTCTTTATTATTTGAAAACAACAATTCCTTATTACTTGAAAAGAAATGTATTGGGATATGTCCCAAATTTATAACCTCTAATCCAAAGATTCACATTCCCCTAAATACCTATCTACCCCCAAAACAGAGAGTACCAAATTTCATCATCATGATTGTGAGAAGTCTTGGAGGAGGATCTAGTAGTCAACTCTAGTTGTCAAAATTACGTAGTCCAAAGTAATCACAAGAGGAAAAGATATATTGAACGGCAAATAATAAATAAAACAATTAGAATAAGCCTTAATAAAAATAATGTGTTATGACAATATTTTTGTAGTTCTTACCCTCTCAAACTCAAGGTTTTTGGAATTCAATTGCTGGGTCATAATATCCTTGCCTGAATCAAGTTTAATGCAAAGTTCTCGAAGAGATAAGTCATTTAAAACTATGGCCTTCTCATCTTCTTGATTTCTAAGCTCTTCTTCTAATCTAGACATGGCTTTTGCCATTGACGAGATCTGAGATTCATAAGCATGATGTGCATTTATGTGCTGAGAAGAGAGGAAAAAAAGGTAAAAAAATTAAAGATAAGTAATCCCAATAAATTTAAAGGTTTGAATCTGTGCAACTACAACATCACCTTATAACAATATGTAAGTCAATTTTTGTTGTTGTGATGTTTCCTGTTATTTAAAGATGTTGTTACTGTTAAGTGCTGTCGAGTTGGTTCCAATCCATAGTAACCCTGTATCGAGTTTCCGAGGAGCGGCTGGTGAGCTTGAATCACTGACCTTGTGGATCAAACTGACTTCGCAGTCCAGAGCATTAACTGACAGCGCCACACCAGGACTCCACAGTCCATTACAATTCTTTGCAAAGGAAACTGTGTATGATTATTCATCATGATAACTAAGAAATATATGTAATTGGAAGATACAAAGATAAAGGTTATTATAATTCTTTGCAAAGGGAACTATGTACGATTATTCCTCATGATAACTAAGAAATATATGTATTAGGAAGACGCAAAGATAAAGGTCATTATAATTCTTTGCAAAGGGAACTGTGTATGATTATTCCTCATGATAACTAAGAAATATATGTATTTGGAAGACGCAAAGATAAAGGTTATTATAATTCTTTGCAAAGCGAACTGTGTATGATTATTCATCATGACAACTAAGAAATATATATATTTGGAAGATGCAAAGATATAGAGTGCTGTGAATATGAGGGATTTCTGAAGCTACATTCAATTTTTCCTGTTCAAGTTGCTTTTGTTACAATAATATGTTTTCAAGAAAAATTAACATTTATACTTATCACTCTCCACTTGGCTTTAGTGCAAATTCAGCCTTCATATACGCAAAACAAAATACCTGAAGTCTTATTTAAATTTTACTTAACTTAATATACAACCTCATAAAATTTCAAATTTCAAATGAGCAAAATTTGAAATACGAATAAGGATTTTCTTTTCCAGAATTACCCACATTTCTAATGCTTCACAATTGTGAAGTAATAAATTTAAATTGACACAAAGTCTACTTCTAAGATGTGGGAAAAATTCAACACTTGAAAAATGGAATTGTTTTAATACACTTTACTGAAATGGGTCCACATTAAAATCTGTGCTGTGGAGATTTAGGATGTGCCAACAGCTTCAGCAAAGTAAGTAACTGAATATTCCAAATATTAATGACCAACTAGAGTTCCCCCAAACAAACTAAATAAAATTAGGTAAAAACAAATTTCATATATAACATAAGAATATGACAAATGACAAAAGAATCAAACGGTCATTTCTTCTGAGGAATTCTTTGGAAGGTCAAACAGTATTCCTTTCATTACTAATTATATTCTTTTTAATAAAAAATGTTCATAGGGAAAATCAACACTTTTTCTTAAAAATGAAGACTACAAAACTTTGCCAATAGAACAAAACAAAACTAACAGCCAATAAATATATTACATAATTAATTCCAGGGTTTCTATATTTTAAATGAACTCCAAATTTTATTCAGAGATTTTCATTAGATTGTCTTTTATGATAACAGCTTGCTGAAGAGTCACAAATTTTATAACTCAGTAGAAAAAGCTACATTATCATTAAATAAAATCACATCATAAGCATATTAACTTGTTTTAAAGAAATAAGGCATAATGTCATGATTTCCTAAAATGTAAATTTGTTAACTGTTAAAATCAGTAAGGGGCCTAATAATTCTTCCAATATATACCTGCATATATTTATAGACATGGATCTACAACTTTCACAAAACAATTTCCTTTTATAATGTGTGACATTTTATAATGTGTGATAAAAGGAGCTCTGGTAGCGTAGTGGTTACGAATCGGACTGCTAACCTCAGGGTCAGCTGTTCCGCGGGAGAAAGATGAGGCTTTCTGCTCCCGTAAAGACTTACAGCCTCGGAAAACCTGTACAGGGTCACTGTGAGTCGGAAACGACTCCACAGCACATAACAACAACAACATTCACAATCTATACATCTGACAAAGTAATTTTATCCAGCATTAAATTAAGTAATAGGAAGACAACTGACTGAAAAAAAATAGGTAAAAGATTTGAATAGATACTTCATAAAAGAATTATCAGAGAAATTAAAATTAAAACCACAATGAGATGTCACTACATACTGACTAAAACAACTACAATTTTCAAGACAGATAACACCAGGGGTGGAAGATGATATGGAGCAACTAGAACTTTCATAAAATACTAGAGGGAATGTAAGATTGAAAAACTAGGGAAAGTTCTTGAAATTTCTTTCAAAACTGAACATGTTATGACAGCAACTCTACTCACAGGTATCTACCCAAACAAAAGTTTGTTGTTATGACGTGCCATTGAGTTCGTTCTGAATCATAGCAACTCTGTACAGGGTTTCTGAGGAGCCACTGGTGGGTTTGAACTGCCAGCCTTGTGGTTCAGTGCATTATCCTACAGTGAATGTTTACAACAGCTTTATTCATAGTGGCCCCAAACTGCAGCAACCCACGTAGCCATCAACAGGGGAATGGACAAACAAATTGTATGACACAGTCACCTAGTGGAATTCCACTTTATAAAAACAAGGTAACAAATTTCTGATTCATGTAACAACATGGATAAACCTCAACAACATTATGCTGAACCAAAGATGCCAGACATAAAAGAATACAACTACATGATTGCATTTACATGAAACTTAAGAACAAGGAAAGCGAATTTTTAGTGAAAGAAAAAAGAGCTACATGGCTGCCTGGGGGCCCAGGGTGGTGGGGGAAGTGACTATAAATCCTTGTGGTGGTGTCTTTTAAATCTTGATCCTGATGGAGATTCCATGGGTACAGATACTTGTCAATATCATCAGATTGTACACTTAAAATGGGAACATTTTATAGCTTGAAAATTATATGTCAACAAAGTTGATTTAAAAGGAAAATGTTATAGCTAATTAAGCCCTTACTGTTGTTGTTAAGTGCCGTTGGGTTGATTCCGACCCACAGCGACCCTACATGGGTTTCCGAGGAGCAGCTGGTGAGCTTGAGCTGCTTACTCCAGTAAAAAAAAGCAAGTACAAATAGGAGGGCCATTAGTAAGATTGTAGTGAATTTAATAGGAGAAAATTCATATTAACAAGTAATGAGGTTCCTAAGAAAATGATCAGAACCCAAACCAAAAGAATTTTACCATTATGACATGATTTTATCAATGTATACAGTTAGGTTCAAATATACCAGCTGCTCCTCAGACACCATATGAAGGGTTGCGATGAGCGGGAACTGACTTCACAGTACTATTCAAAAATAATCATACAATTAGGTTATTTCAAGAAACCCTTTGTGATCTATTAAATCATGTCTTTACAAGACAAATGAATGCATTACCTCCTGGATTTCTTTTTCTAGTAGGTCCACTCTTTCACGAAGGTGTCTCCTCTCCGTGTCAATAGAAAGAAGTTCGAGTCGAACGGAGCTGTTTTCTCCCTCAGCCTGATGGGCTTTTACTTCCCAGTCTTCAGCACGGTTATGAAGCATCTGAAATCTTCCTAACAAATCTTGATTTTCTTTTTCCTGGTTTCAATATAATGAAATTGTTTCTAAATGAGTACCTGTCACTCATTTTAATACCATGTCATTAACACACTCACACACACGTTGGGATTTCTGTTATTGAGAAAGTATCTGCAAGACATTATACTAATATCTATCAGAACATCAGTTGGCAAGGCCTCCACTCTCAAATGTTTAAATCCCTTCCTAAGTCCACGCTGAAAGTGTAACTGTCACCTTGGAAGCCATCAAGCTCTCCCACCGCGACACCTCGGTTATGTAGTTATGCACTCTGCTCTTCATGTCCTCTTTTTCTTGCACTGCTGCTTCCAACTCCAGTGAGACCTCCTGTAAATCCAAAAATTGAAGACGGAACTCAAACAAGCAGTATTTAAATGGGTCCTGGATATTCAAATAGCTCCTCTGGAATGTGGGATGTATGAGAGGGGAGGACAAAAGGAAAACTGTTCCCTAACTTTTAATTTCATCCACTTCCTCCTGGTTGATCTTGATTTGTAAACCACAACTTGACTTTACATCTCCTACAATTTTCCTGGCCACATATCTGGCATTTACACTTAGGGTAAGTTACAGTCAGGGTTGACATTTTTAAGATTCCTACACCAGCAACATGCTGTACAATGAATACTAAAAGTAATTTTTCTAAAAAGCTGTAACTCCAAGGTTCACAGCTAATTAAACCTACCAGGCACTTCTTGGAAACCCTATAGTCGGAACTGACTTGACAGCACTTAACAACAATAATCATGAGTCTTCAAAACCTACAAACTTTTTCTTGGGAGTGATGCTAATGTCCTCTGACAGGTAGAACAACAATGATTTCTGCCACAGGAGTCTCCCATGCTGCCATCTTTAGGTTTCCTTGCAACAAAGGCCAAAACAGTCAAAGAGACCATAATTGTACCCATTAGATACCCTGTAAAAAACAGCGTAATTCTAACCCACCTTTAAAAATGTCTTGATAAACATTCTTCTTACAGGATTGTGTTCATCAATATTTATACCATTAAGCCTTAGAAAATTATTAGAGTTCCAAAATGAAATTTCAAAAGCTACTGTAAGATGTTTACTGTGTTCATACCTGATTTTCTCTTGCCATCGTACTCAGATCATCTTGCAATCTTCTGTTTTCCTTTAAAGCTATTTCTCTAGATTTTCCTACTTCATCAAGTTCTTTGTGAGCTGCATCAAGCTGGCGCCGGAGGCTGCTGATCTCACGGTCTCGATTAGTCAAGGTATCCTTGAGGTGGCTGTTGAATGAGCGATGTGGAAATCATAAATTAAGCTTTCTGAAAAATTGCAGTTTGTTTAAAAAATGTTTTACTCTGATTAAGCATGTTAATAATAGAAAAATTTATAACTATTGCATTAAGACACTTATCAATTAGGTAAAGTAGACATTTTAGATCTTCATCAACATTATCTGCAAATTAAGTCATAAAATAAACATCTAAAAATCAAGTAAACCCAGGAAACTTTTAAATGCTAGGAGCAGAACAGAACCGATTCAACTGCCAAATGTTTATAAAATGTATAAATCCCATTACTGCATAAAATGTAAAGGTATAAAACAGAAAACAGCATTAGTGACTTTCATCCTGTTGTTGTAGTTAAGTGCTGTCAATCTATTCCAATTTATAGCCACCCTGTATAGGGTTTCTCAGGAGCGGCTATTGAGTGTGAACTGCTGCTCTTATAGTTCAAATGAACCTAGAGGTCAAGTGCAACATCATACATAACATGCCAAATTCTGTACCTTATTCCAGATACATTTAGGTGGGCAATATTTTTAAGACTGGCTACTAATGTAATCTAAGTTTCAGTGATTAGGGATTGAACAGGGTAATTACAATAGAAACAAAGACCAAGTAAGCATGTAAAATGGAATCCTGGTAGTAAAATGGTTTAAGTGCTCAGCTGCTAACCACAAGCTCAGCAATTAGTGGGAGAAAAGACTTAGTGATCTGCTCCCATAGTAAAGATTTCAGCCTAGCAAACCCTATGGGGCAGTTCTGTCATCTAGGGTTGCTGAGTCAGAATTAACTTCATGGGCCACAATAGCTAGGTAAAAAATAAATAAATAAATGAATTAAGATGGAAGTATTCAGATGTGGATGATAGAGGAGGAGAAAAGTTAAAAAGGATAATACATTTTCAAGCCAAGTATACTAAGAAAATGAAGCTGCCATTTGCAAAATGGCAAGAGGAAGTAGAAAAAGGAAATTGTCATGGATTGAATTGTATCTCCCCAAAATGTGTCCACTTGGCTAAGTGATGATTCTCTGTTCTGGCAATATTGATGTGATGTGATCTTGCTGCTATAAACCAATCAGTTGTCAGGGGATTAAGGGTGGGATGTAATTTAATATCTTTAATCCCAACAGTCTTGATTCAATGTAGTAATGAGAATTTCCCTGTGGTGTGGTTCGCAATACCTTTGATATTACAAGACATAAAAGAAGAGAGAAGCAAGCAGACAGGTGGGAAGGGGGAGAGACACCTACTCCCATTAAGAAAGAAAAGCCAAGGAGTGAAATGCATCCTTTGGACTCGGGATCCCTGTACTGAGAAACTCCTAGACTCGGGAAGACTGATGCCAAGACACATGGAGATCATCAAGGAATGCTGGGCCTACAGATGCTGAAAGGAGCCAAGGACCTTTCCCTGGAGTAGACAGAGAGACAGAGAGAAAGCCTTCCCCAGAACCAGGACTCTAAATTTGGACTTGTAGCCTCTTAAACTTTATACTTAAACTTAAGCATAAGAGAAGAAATTTCTGTCAGCTAAAACCAGTCATACTTCAGGTATTTGTTATAGCAGCACTAGCGAACTAAGACTGAAATAGTCTTACTGCCTTACTGCTACTTACATAGTGGATATATCTGTATTTACTAGAGATTTCTAGAAAAACTAGATGTCATTTCATTGATTACTTACTTCATAGATGACTCAAACTCTGACATTGTTACCTTCATATGAGCAATAGTTTTTTCCTACAAAAAGCATGAAAATATGTAAGATTCTCAACTATTCAGACAGAAATGTCTTTAGTTGAATTTATATAACTCAATACATCTATTCTAGCTCAAATCCAATGACATAAATTATGCCATAAAAGAAAACTCTAAGTAAACATGTCTCCATGTCTCCACTGTACCTTACATGTCAGTAAATTCCCACCCGTCCTGCCAACCTGAATGATTTACTGTGATGAGATCTAATAAATGAAACTGCATTCCTAACCACGGAACCTATTAAGATTTAAATTACTAGGGTAAAAAGAAGTATTATTCTTCCAAAAACTATCTTTCTCCTAGAGAATAGCTGGTGTCCTTGAACTGCTGACCTTTTCGCTAGCAGACAGGAACTTTAACCACTGTGTCACCAAGGCTCCTTTCAATATACTCTAAATATGCTAGGAATTTTAACATAGTAAATGTATCAGAAGACATGGTCTTGCAAAAAGAGATAATGAGATTAAACAGTCACATACTTTAGTGGCTAAATTTTCATCTAAGTTTGCAATCTTTTCTGTCTTCTCATCCACAGTCTCTTGAAGGAAGTCTTTTTCTTTATCAATAACTCCGATGGTCTCTCTCATTACCTTCATCTCCTGATCCTGTGACATTACTCTAAGGTTTAGTTTATCTATAAACGGAAAGAAATGTTTGTTAGAATAAACTGGGATTAGCCAAAAGAATTATAATGGTAACAAATCTAAAAATACTTACCTAGTTTTTCCTCCAGTACTTTAATTTGTGATTGGGCTGATTCAAGTTCACCTCTTTTTATAGTGAGTTGGTGTTGGCAATCATCAAGTGACCGCTGTAGCTGCTCATTGACCATCCTGAACAATCAATGGACAGAAACAAATGCAAGTGTTTACTTCTGATAGAAAATAATCTTTGAAATGAGCGATCTTTAAAAAATATTTTGATTTATTTGTATTTATCTCATATTTTAAAGTTATTTCAGTATAATCAGTGGCTTATTATTTCTTGCTATCTACCATTCTTTTTCAAAATGTTCTTATCTCCCACCAAATAATACAGTATAAATGTTAAATTACATGTTCTTTAGTGGAGCCTTCCTGTTAGCTTTAAAGCCCTTCTAGGTCTCCTAACCGAGTAACTGCTGTCAACCTCTTTTCCCTTAAAATCTATTTTCAATAGTGGAGGCAAAAGGAAAACCACGAGCCTGTTTTTACAGAATGGCCTCACACTTCAAAGAATTAGCTATCAATTCTGACCAGTCAGCTTCTAATTTTGCTTCTTCTTATTCTAGCTTAGGGCTCTGGTTCTTCTTTTTAAAAAAAGAAAAAATTCAGGCATGGTTCTCAGGCACTCTGACCTTTTCCCCTTATTAATAAACCAAATAAAAAACTCACTGCCATCAAATCAATTCTGACTCATAGGACAGGGCAGAACTGTCTAGAGGGTTTCCAAGGCTGCAATCGTTTGGACACAGAATGCCACATCATTCTCCCAAGGAGCCGATGGTAGATGGAACTGCTGACTTCTTGGTTAGCACAGGGCTTAATTATGGCACCACCTGGGCTCCTTCTTTCCCTTATTAGCTAAGGGTTATTATCTAAGAAATGGGTATCAATTCCCTTAGTCCTTAGCAAATAAATACTTCTTAAAGGAGAGAGTTGTATTTGGTTTCTTAACTACATCTAAACAATTCCTAGTATAACAATTGATATTTAATAACATAACTAGGGTTCATTAGTCATTTCCAGAAAAATCTACTAAAAGTATTTGATCACAGAAAAATATATAATCCCTCTGGTTTTGAACACAATGAACATTTAGTCAAAGGCAAATTGAAAATAATGTGATGGTATTTTTAGCCTAGGAGCCTAATTGTTTAGCGCCTCATAAAGCAGTTGTTAAGGATTAAGACTTTGCTAACGGGTTGATTGGACTAACTCCTGGTGTGGTGCTGTAGGATCACCACTGGACTTGAAACCACAAGGTTGGCAGTTCAAACACATCAGCTGCTCCTCGGAAACCCTATACAAGGTCGCTGTGAGTTGGAACTGACTCAATGGCACTTAACAACACAACAACATGGGGCTGAATGAAAACAGTTACTTGTCTAAGGGGACTGAAACAATCTATCCTCAAGCAGTGATGGGCAAACAACGGCCTGGTGCCTGCCTATTTCTATATGGCATGAGAGTTCAGAATGGTGTTGACATGTTTAAATGATCGTTTTTTAAAGTTCAAGGGAAAATTAACGTGCCATTCAGATTTCAGTGTCCATAAATAAAGCTGCAGTGAACCACAGTTACACTCATTCATTGACGTGTGGCTGCTTTCACAGGCATGAGTAGCTGTGCCAGAGGCCGGCTGACCTGCACAAACTACAATGCTGACTATGCGGCCCGTCACACAGAAAACATCGGCCGACACCACCCTGGAGGCTGGCAGGTGAGTTCTCAGGGGGCTAACAGACCATCATTTCTGGAGAGAGAGCAACTCCCTTAACAGCATCACGCTGTTCTGAATTTAGACATGAAACGCCACCTCCCATTCAATGCTGCAATTCAAGGAGGGAAACGTGCATTTTTTTTCCCCCAGAGTGGTCTAGAAATGGGATTTTACATTGGTGTCCTCTGATTTTGTACCAAGAGACCAGACGAAAGATCCTCTATTTGGATTAATTAAGATTCTGCTTATTTCAGAAAAGGTTGTTTGGTGGCACTAAATTTGGTGAAAATGCTGGACTCCAAAAGGGAAAGAGAAGATGGTCCACTGGGGGGCAAAAAAGGAAACATACACCTAATCTACCCGAGTGTCAGTTTCTTAAGCATTTTCATGTCAATGGATTGAGAACATGTGATTAAAGAGGTAGCAAGATTTCTATCAACATATCAAAAGTGGCATGAGTTTTGGATTATGTGGCTTCACTTTCATAAAGTATTATGGTTTATACCGGGTTCAGCTGGGGACCAGGACCCCATGGACTGCACTCACGGAGCTCCCATATTTGCTGACATGGAGAGTGTGATGAACACATTTCCCTCAGAGACAGCTAAGTCATACTTTGTATTGAAGCAAAACAGGAGTTGTGAAAGCATGCAATTTCCCAGGGTATGCAAAGTAGAGAGTAAAACCTTACCAATGCCCTCCTCCTTTGGGACTGTAACTATAACTCCCACATGAGAGATGTGAATTCCGCTCATAAGAGATGCAGACGGAACTCATGAGAACATTACTGGTGTAAGAAAGAAATGGAGTCCTGGTGTGCCACTGTGGGTTAATGCGCTGGACTGCAAAGGCAGTTTGAACCTCAATGCCAGCAGTTCAAGCTCACCAAAGGCTCCTTGGAAACACTATCCAGGGTTGTTTTGGGACAGAACCAACTCAACGGCACTTAATAAAAACAAACAACAAGAAGAAAGAAAACCCCAAAGGAGACTGTAGGCTAGGGAATCCAAGAGAAGGTATTCTTTTGTGAGGGGAAAGGAAAAAAGAGCTATTAACTATAGTCTTAGGGGAAATACAAATGGGTTAAATGCCAGAACCATCCATCCAGTTGGAAAGAAAAGGAAAATGGGCAGAGTAGTAATCCTGGGTGACGGCACATGGTGTCTGTAGGCTGGACCTAAATGCAGACATGAACCAGGAGGGGACTGGCCCATTCAGAGGAACAGAAGAGCAAACACGGGCGATGCCTTAGGAGCCACACAGTAGGAAAACCTAGCGGGGAAAGGAGGTGAAGACGAGAGGGCCCATCAATATTCCAGGAGACGGAAGGAAAGAAAGGAAGGATACGAAAAAGGGTTTCTGAAAACTGGCTTGGAAGTTCGTTAAATTTCTTCTCTTTCCGCCTTTACTCCAAAGGCAGTCTTCATTTATACTCGTCCATCTCTAACTGGCTTCACTTTACCCACCACCCTGCCCTCCCAGTCCATTCATTCATGAGCATTTTCATCAGCAACCTGAAATCTATGAGTCCTTTTTCTAAACTTAACCAGACCACAATCCTAGATGATACTAAACATCTGTTTTCTCTCTGTTCCTGCTGATTATTACTGTAGCAACCACAAAAATAGACAGATGTATGGCACTGTTCTGTGTACTGCCAAGCCACTCCCAAGTCATAGCAAACCCTACATGACAGTGTAGAACTGCCCTCCATATGGTAAGGATATCATGTTGGGAAAAGTGGAGGGCCAGAGATGAAGAGGATGACTCCCAAGAAGATAAACTGACACAGTGGCAGCAACACTGGGCTCAAACGTATCAACACTGTGCAGGACTGGGCAGCGGGTCATTCTGCTGTGAGTCGGAACCAATCAGACGGCACCTAACAACAACAACAACAACAATCTTTCTAGAAGTAGATCACCAGGATTTTTCTCATTCAGAGTCACTGATGGGACTGCAGACCTTTTGGTCAGCAACTTTAAGTGTTGTACCACACCAGGACTCTTAGTTAAACTTATAACCCCGATGCTGTTCAGTCAATTCCGATTCATAATAATCTATAATTCATGATACTACTAATTCACAATTTCTAACATCAGTTGGATCTGACATTAACTCTTCACTACCTGTGTCCCTAGTAGTTCTTCTGCATTCTAGGTAGGTAGCGGAAGAACTGAAAACACCTTAGATGACGTCAGGGAGAAGGGTTCCCTATCTGCATACTTCTCAGAGTAAGCCCCTCTCAGTTCAGAGCTTGATTGCTAGCTACATTTGTAAACACATAATAAACAATGTACACAATTCTTGAGTTACAACCTTACTTCTCTTCAAAACTGAACTGAAATGGGACTTCTGAACTCATGGACAAGGACACAGCCACAGAGGGCTAGAGCTAAGAGTGAAGTATCCAGCTGATATGAAGTGAGGGGAGATGCACAAGAACTTCCAAACTTGCAGAGAGTACCCATTGGACGTAGCCTGGATGGCTTGATAATCAGAGCTCAACTAGAGCAAGATTAAAAAAACAATTTATGATAAAGGAAATGAGTGTAATTTGCTACAATTTGATGATATTGACCTATACTTATGGATGCAGTAGCTCAAAATACCAACTGAGAGGGAAGGAGTCTTCACATCAAGTTATCAATCCAATCCCCTCTGTATACAGGGTAGATAGGGATGGGTACCTTAGGCAATGGTTACCTAAAATGAGGGGGGTGATAAAGGTACGAAGTGACTGGCTTACAAGGTTTCAACAGGAAGATTAGTTTAAGAGTGTTCAGGTGAAGGTTGAGTCCCTACTGAATAGTTTTCATCTTGTCTAGATAGGTCTGGTGAAAAGAGATGGGGATACGGTTTTATGATTCACAATTCATAATCATGAATTATGATGCAAGTGAGAAACTGTTCTCATGACTGAGACTGTCACAACTGTAAAGGTAGAAGTTTTATAACAAAAACGGGGGAGTAGTTAATCTTACAATCCAGAAACATAGGACCTAGGACCATCAAGGGAGCAGAGTGCAAGAAGAGTGTGGGACCCTATCCAGAGAAGCAGCGACACCAAAGATGGAGGCAGAGATGAGGACATGGAGAGAGGGAGCAGCTGAAGACTCTATAGACTAATGGAAAGAGAGGGACTGGGCACTGGCAGCCCAGAGGCTGACTTGAAGAAATGTGCCCTTTGGTTGTTTAAATTCTTATGTATTCCTGAGTGTTTTTGTATACATCCCCCCACCCCAACCCAACCCCACCCCAAAAAAAACTCCAGGGAATGGAAGCAAATACTGTTGAATAATGATGCATGTAGGAGATTTGTAATCATTGCAATGAAACGATGGTGTAAAGTCATCATTTGTAACATTTACATTGATGGTATAAATGTTCTCCCATGTAAAGTATCACTCAGTTCACAATGAAAATTAAAAAATAAAGAAAGAAAGAACTGAAATTATTGTATATTAATTAGCTCTTAGTGCTGCATTGGAGACTGACAGAAGAGAGGACTTCAAAAAATTCATTGAAGAATTCCTTTATCTTTTAATTTTTCCATTTTGGAATCCCCCTTGTATACCAGGCTGTCTTTTTTTCCTTCACAGATAACACCTTTGGTTACCCTTCTAATCTGGATAGTTCTCAAAAAAAAATTCAAATCTTTGAAATGAAATTTTACCAGACATGATACACATAATTGTTAATGGGCGGTACAAGTAAAACAAATGAAAATGGGGAAGGTTTTATCACATATGTAGTTTTTTACCACACAAACAAAAATGTCACCAGATACACTGAGCTGCCGGCCTTACTTCATTACATTTGTTTGATAATCAGAGAGCCCTATGGATTGCAATCTCCAGTATTTTCTTTCCTAATTATACCTGTGACTCTCAAGCTGGTCTGTCTAGTTCACTATGTATATCTGGAATTCTCAGTTATTGTATATTAGATGGGTGTCTTTTTTCACGCATTTCACTCTTTTTCATTTTATTCTCTGATGTTGGGGTGAGTTTGTTTTCTTATACATTAATTCAGTTTTCTGTAGTATCTACTGTTCACTAACATCTTCAGTTTTTACAATTCTTTCTAATTTCAAATTGTTACAGACTTATGACAGACTTAGTTTCACAAATGCAATATCTCATTGATTGTTAAAGTAAGTGCAATTTAGAGATAGTTTCTCCAACTCCTTAGAGTAATTCCTTTCTTTTGATCGTCAGTATCTTTTTACTTACTGAAGCTACCCACTCTAGAGAATCTAACTTTCTTGTTTTTTTTTTTCTTTCCTTCTTTCAATATTCTGTATTCAAAAATAGGGAACAAATCTTTACCGCGAGGATCATTCCCACCCACCACCTCCATACACAGAGTAGACAAGGATGGACAACTTGGACATTGGCTACCGAAAATACGGGGATACAAAAGCAAAAAGTGACTGGCTTACAAGCTTTCAAGAAGGAGCCTAGATCCAGAGGGTGTGGAAGAAGGTAGACTCTCCACTGAGTAGTATCCAATCTGTCTAAGCGGGGCTGATGAAAGGAGATGTGGATAGATCTCTTGTGATACAACAGTGAAGAATTGTTATCAGGACTGATTGTGAGGGTTGGAAATGTAAAGATAGACGTTTTGTAGCAAAAGGAGGGGAATGATTGACTTTGCATTCTAGGAGCAGAGGTCCCTGGGACCATCAAGCGAGAAGAGCAGAGTGCCAAGACCCTACCCAGACAAACAGTAACGCCAGAGATAGAGGCAGAGAAACGGTGACATGGAGAGATGGAGCGGCTGGGGACTTTAGACCCAGAGAAGGAGAGGGGCTATGTGCTGATGACCAGGGAGCAGGCTTGCAGGATATACTCTTTGGTTGGTTGATGATGCATGGAGGGGATTGTAACCATGGCAATGAAACGATATACGACAGGATGAATGTGAAGCTAATATTCTCCCATGTAAACTATCACATAATTCACAATAAAACATTAAAAAAAAAAATCTATATTCAAAACTGATGAATGGCTCACCAAAGATCAAGTCTCCTAAGGTCAAAGTTATGTATTACTGTCTCTCTCCATCTCCATATAGTCACCTAGTCCTTCTTATTTTATATAAAAGATGTCTTCTGTGTCTGTCCTTTGTTCTCCAAATTCATTGCCATTGTGTTTATCCAGACCCCAGTCTCTATTGTTTGGTGTTGGTCTATTACAACTCCAAACCCATCTACATTTTCATCAGGACTAAAACTTTTTGCTTGTTCTCTGTGTTTATAAAATCCAGGCACTCTTACTGAACAAAGTTCTTCATAATGTGACTCTAACCTGTAGATACAGCCATTTTCCATACTGACCTTCCCATTCTTTAAACACACCAGACCCTTTAAGACTCTGCATAGGCTACATCGTCTTCCTAAAACGGAGCTACCAAACTTCTTCACTTGAGGACTTTCTGAACATCATTGGAAATACAGCTTAATCATTACCTCTATAGCAATACCTCCCCAACTGCCAGACTGTCTGTCCCTCTGTCTCATGTGCATCTCCATTTCTATGCAAGAGCATGTAGCACAGTACATCATCATGCATCAGTTTACATGGCACAAACTAACATGGCTTCCTTGAAGGGAAAGAGTGTGTCTTATTCATCTCTATAATTCTAGTGTGGAGCAGAGAGACTTGCGGCACAGAGTGATGACTACAAACATTTATGATCAATTAACCAATAAACAATAATTCTTGATTATGTGTATCTAAAACAAAAGTAAATTCTGTGTTACCAACACAAGAAGAAACAGAACATATCCATTTGTAGCATCCAACAATAGGCTTCTTCATGGTTAGGCTGTCCTGAATACACAAAACTATCACTCCCAACCTTCCTCTATACTTATCTTCAAATTACCTAATGAGTCTTCTGGGAACGTAAGAAAGTAACAGCATCTACAATATAATACTAAGTGGAAATATCCTTTTAATAGCAAACGAAAAGGAAGAAATCAGGATGAAAGGGAAGCAGCAGAGAACAACATAAAAATATCTGTGTTCATATCGAGACAAAAGTAAAGGGATACAGAATATCTGTTAAGTCAAAGAAGTTTACAGAAAATAGGCGATGCATATACTGACTTTTATATTTCATAGAGAGATGTAGTAAGAGAAAATGACATGTTGTTAGGTGCTGTCGAAAATAACACAGGCAATCAAATAGGCTGTGATTTTCAACAAACCTGTACTTCATTGAAGTACAAAGGATGTGAAATATCTTTTTATGGGGAATTTTGGAAAGAGGTAAGTACGAAAATCAGTGTGCAATCACTATATAAATCTATAAATGTTTAAACATATGTAAATATTCAAAAGTCACCCTGATTCACTTATTGAATCACAACGTCCAGTGATCATCCCCTAAATTCTTACTTTTCAAAAGCTCCCATGAGATTCTGCAAGACGCACTCTGGGAAGTACTGTTCAAACACCCAATCCAAAATGCCATGGTTATGACCCTATCCTAACTGAAACATGTTCTAAGAAGTGAAATAACAGAATGTTCAATAAACTTACCGAAGTGAGTTCATCTCTGTTTTCTGATGAGATGAGTCACCAACAACATGGTTAAGTTTCTGAGTTTGGAGTTTTATTTTGTTCTCTAATGACTCTATTGTCTCATTCATTATTAACACTTTAGACTTTAATTCACATTTTTCATTTTCAAGCTATAATTTAAATTAAAGAAACATTAATAGGCATATATCTCTTTCCTTATGCATTCTTTAGTAGGATTTCTGGAAAAAAAAAACTACAGAAATAAATTAGACTTATTTAAAAATATTTCTAAATGTTAGAATGGGCATACACATTTATACCTTCCCCATCAATCATTTAAAAAAAAGGAAAAGTACAAAAGGCTGTATCTAGACTCTTCTAACCCTAGACCAGAAGAACTAGGTGACCAGTACCACCACCTACCGTTCGGACCCAGGGACACAACAGAAGGTTCTGGATAGGATGTAGAAAAACCTCAATTCTTAGGAAAGGCCAATGAAGACTAGAGGAACCACTGAAAGCTTCACTATATCTTTTGAACTTGGCATGGAAGTCCCATTCCTGATAACCTTTTAGCCAAATAGATGGACTTACCAAAGCATCCGTAACACCACAAATATTGTATCCTTTAAACACTCAACTATATGAGACCAAAGAGTCAATATTTACCCCAAAGCAAAAGACAAAACAGTAAGGAGGGGAAGGGAAGCTAGATGACGGGAAACAGAACAACCAGAATGGAAATAAGAAGCTTGCTGACACACTACGAACACTGTAACCAATGTCACAGGACCATTTACATAAGAAGTGTTAAATGGGAATCCACTTACTGTGTAAAGTCTCACCTAAAACACAAAGAGAATTAAAAAAAATTCTACCTACCAAAGGGGGGGGGAAAAAAAATATATATATATATATTCATAATAGCAATGAAAACAGGTAAGGAAACCAAGAACAGACAAAAAATTTGAAAAATCAGTAGATACGGTTGAACTGACAGAAAGAACAGAGAAGTAAAGGTTATAACACAAACAAAACATGGGTTGACCTACTCAAACTATAATTTTCCTTATGGACATAAAAAGTAACTTGACCTAATATAAACACAAGACACCCTAGGGGCACAGTGGGTTAAGCATTAGGGTCCTAACCAAAAGGTTCGAGCCCACGAGCCACTCTGAGAGACAAAGATAAGACGTCTGCTTCCTCAGAAACATTGACAGCTCAGGGACCCTACGGAGCAGTTCTACCCTGTCCTACAGGCATTGGGTAATGTAAACCAACACCATGTTCTTAGATGGGAACACAATTTTGCAAGCATACCAAACCTTCCACCAAATGATTATAAATAAAATTTTAAAATCCTATAAAATACCTAAGAGAACTTTGTTTTTTTTAAAACTAGAAAGCCACATCAATGAAAACAGTGTGGATTTCATAGAAACAGGGGCAAATACATGCAAATGAATAAAGTAAAAACACTACGTAAAGATGTGAATTTAGAAAAAGGGATGTGGTGGGGAATTAAGAACAACTGTTACTACCAGGGACAAAACTTTAGCTAGATTCCAACTTTAATTCACATACAAAAATAAACTGTAGATGAAATAATGACCTATAAGTAAAATTCAAAACCAAGAAATGCGAGTAATTCATCTGACTTCTAGTCATGTTATATCTCCTTTCCTTCTGGAAATACCACTGAAATGTCAGCAAAAGAAAAGAAAAAGGTATAAACTCCTAAGAACACAGAGAACAAGAAGATGAGCAATTTCCTTAACTTGTGGAAGACAAAAGCAGACAGATCAACGACTCAGGGAGGATAGATACAATTACATCCTACAACAACGTCTCTCACCGCAGGAACTACCAAAATTTTGGACCAAATAATTCTTTTACCTCCTCTGGACCAAATAATTATTTTACCTCCTCTGAGATGTGACAACCAAAAATGTTTCCATATGCATGCTCAACCTTGGAACAACAGGGCTCTGTGATAGAGGGATCGAGGGATAGTCTGAAGAGGGGAAATAATACTAAGATGCTTGACTGAACATTGATTTCCCTTGCCTACTATTATAAAATAGACACTTGAGTGGGATATTAAGGAATGTTGGGAAACATGATTAGAGAAAACTCGTAAGCCCGTCTTTGGCCTATAACTAAGCGGAATACCTACAAGGGGTTCTAGAACTTGCTCAGTTTAATAGGCTTCTTGTGAAGCCTTTGCAGTGTATAGGACCTTAGGTGGAATCCTGAGCCCCATCCAGAACCTTATGAGGTGGGACATTCCCACTAGCATGGACAAGCAGACCAGCCTGGAACAGCTAGAGCAACAGAAGATACATCTTCAAAGAATGATCATCAGGAAAAACCCAAAACAAAAAATGGCAGTATGACTGGCTACTACAAGAATAAGCAAGTAGTTTGCCGGGAAGCCATTAGGGCAAGCAATCAAGTTCCTTCAGGTCAAATCCCCCTCTAAAACTGAAACTCAAAGGGAACACATGAGCAGGCATGGAAGCTTGCAGGCATGGAAGCCTACTGGCAACCACATTGGCATACTGGTGACTGGAAGAGGGGGAAAGACAGCAATGAAGGAATGGGCTGAGTTCAACCATGGTCCATACACTCCCATTGATCTGGATATGAGAGAGAGAAGAGGAAGCGCTGGTTGGTCCGATGTGTGATGAGAGACCTAGGGACTCTTGAGCCCATGGACAAGGACATAGCCACAGAGGACTAGAGCTGAGAGTGAAGTTGCCAGCTGATATGAAGTCAGGTGAGATGCACAAGAACACCCAAACTTTCAGAGAGTACCCATTTAATCTAGCCTCGAAGGCTTGATAATCAGAACTCAATTAAAGCAAAATAAAAATAAAAAATTTATTGATAGAGGAAATGAGGGTAAATTGCTACAATTTGATGAACTTGACCTATACTCATGAAGGTTGTTGTTGTTGTCAGGTGCCATCGAGTCGGAACCGACTCATAGCGACCCTATGCACAGCAGAACGAAACAATGTCTGATCCTGGGCCAACCTCACTACCGC